TGCCGCCTAGCTGAGGCTCTTATTTGATTGACTGCGAGTTGCATACTTTATGGCGTAGCCATCATTGATAAGGCGTCAACGCGTTGCGAGACGCGACGGTGACGGCAATATTTCATCAGCAATTGTTTGAAAAGTTTCTTAATTAAATATGACAGATTACCCAACCAAGACTTTTGGCCAGCTAATTGAATTTAGCCAAGTTACCGCTGCGATTGATATGCACAGATTTTTGGAGCTTGTTGCTTAGACATGAGCACAGTTTCGCAACCGTGGACAGAGGGAAAACTTTTTGGCAGAGCGAAAAACTGTACGACACAACTCTGCTGGAGGACAATTCGAGAAACGGCGTTAGAGTTATTTTAAAGCCAAAGATCTTGGCTAAAAACTTTCGGAGCCCAGCTAGTTGTTCACACACAATCCAATTTGTTATCGTAAAAATTGCTAATGCACAAATAGAATATATTATCTCAGGCTTTTCTGACGTTTTTTATGTTTACTTTATGTGCATTAGGTTCCCCAAGATCCAAAAGAAATAGGCTTTGTAAACTAAAAAGTCGGAGTAGATTAACTTTGTTGCTTTGTTTAAACATATATCGAAATTCCCAACAATTATTATTTATAATTCAGGCAACTAAATAAGTTTAATAATAATAAAAGTAATAATAATGTATAATAAAATTAATAATACTAATAATAATAATAATAATAATAATAATAATAATAATGTTTGATATAAATAATAAAAATAATAATAATCAGACCATTATAACTTTTTTATTAAAATATATATTTCAATAACAATTAAATTAATTAAACGATTTAAAATTGCCAACATTTATGCAATACTAATAAAAGTAATAATTAAATTATAATAATAATTAAATATAACTAAAATATTTCTAATAAATTGAATTATATTCGTATTAAATATAATTTCAATAATTATTACTATAATAATTATAGTTTTAACAGTAATTAATCTCATTATTATTAAATTTGATTAATTGAAGGTGAGATCTCTATTGTATTACTTTCTTCATTTTTTCTACATGATTATCAGTTACTTTTGAGCTTGTCTGCCTACGCAAGCTCAGACTCACGTTGCCGCATTTTTAATACATTTAATTTCTAATATCTAAAGAGCTTCTCATTATACCAGCCGCAAATAAGCAAACGGACGAGTCTCTTGTGGTTAAAGCCACACAAGCCAAATGCCAGACAACAGCGAGTTCGAGTGTCCGCTAACAACGTGCCGGCCCACTCTGCTGTTTAGCAAACACTTTGAACAAACTGCTGACAAACATTCTCTGCTCTATTTGCATGCCCTCGAACGTATCTCTGCAACCCTGCAGCATTTCTGTAAGTCCGCAAAAAAAATACTGCTTAAAAAAACCTGAAATAAAACTGATTTCATTACCTTGATTAGTTGGTCTCTTCAAGTCTGCGTGTGTGTGTGTGTGTGTGTGGGTGGTTGTGTGTGTATGGTTGTGTTTGTGTGTGTCTGAGAGTCAGTTTGTTTGCCGGGCTTTTCAGCGTTTTTTTACACATCTGAAAATCCAACACGGCGCTTATGATGGCAAAGGCAACATGAATGGAAAGTGGGGTTGGCCATCTTTTGGCCTCGCCGTTTTGGGTTCAATGCAAGCATTAACCTCATTAGCATGCAACTCTGAATGGCGCTCAGAATATATAAATATATATATTAAGTAGCTAGCACATGCCCCCAGTTTCCATTTTTTAGTTAATCTCTTTAATCTAATGGATTAAATTTAAGAGCACAAGTTGTTTATTTTCAATTGCATTACTTTGTTTAATTTCATATGGTTTTCGTTTATACGATATTCTTCTTAAGAAATTAATAAATAAATAATATCAATAATATACACCAAAAAGTTTCATCAATTAAAAAACATAGCGCAAATCATAGCTAATTTGGAATGTAAATTTTATGCTCATTTTCTGTGGAAAACAAGGAGAACAGAGCTGAATAAGAATGAAAGAAAACGAAAGGAAAACATGGTTTAAACCAGCTTCCTGCTTTGAGAAAGTCAGCATTTGCGTCAAGCCCAGATTTGTCATGCAAATATTTTCAAGGTTTAACTAAAAGCAATTAACAATTTTTTGAGATACGTTTTACTGAAGAGATTGCAAGTCCTATATATTTTCATATAGAAATTGCGGACTATGTTTGAACTCTATCCGACATTAAATTAATGCAAAGGTACTTCATGTTTATTAAATATATGAAAAAATGTAAAATTAAAAAAATAAAAACAGTCCCATGAGAGATTTTGATAGTAGCAAAAAAAATACACACCGACACCAGCAATGCTCTCGACCTATGCATATTTGTCCCTACTTATGTGCCAAGTACAAATGCTTGAGCATGAAACCGAACTAACAATGTTTAATCTTATTTCCATACTTCATCGCTGCTGATTAACATTTAACAATGGCCAACTAACAAGTTTGCTATTCGAGCCTCCGCAACACTGCCTGCCACTCACTTGGGCGCTGCACACAATGTATTGAGGGCACTTTTCAACACTTTATCAGCAACTGAGGCACTTGCCACTTGAAGAGAACTAACTGCCAACACTGGCAGAAAAACTTAATTAAGCATAATAGAGCTGAGCTCTGGGCATGCAATGCAGCAGCATTTTCTTACATTTTTTTTTCTCTTTTCAAGTTCTTTCACTCAAGCTGTAAGTAGCTGTCGGTAATTTGCGCTTAGCCACACTTTTACAGAGCAACACGCCGACGAAGCAGCAGCTGGGCGGGAGGCCTGAGAAGATGTAGATGGAGATGTTGGCAGTGCCTTGCACATTTTTAATTGCATTTCCGCTATTTTTGATGCTCTTTGAATTTATAATGTGAACTCTGCTGCCCGGCTAGCTGGCTGGCACGTTCTGAGAAATATAATTCAATTAATTACAAAGACGACAGGTGCAAGGTAACTAACACTTAATATTAATCATACGCAGCGTAAGCCAAAACGAACAAAAAAAAAATATATATATATATATATGAGCTATCGCATTTGTAGCAGAAGCCTCCTAGAAGGGCGGGCACAACCTTTGTATCTAATAAACATGTTTATTTCATTAGCGCTACACATGCGTCCATTTCGAATGTGAGGGCAGGGGGGGGGGGGGGAAAAAAAAGCAAAAAATGTTGGGTACTCCCCCAGGACATCATTTGCCGTGCCGATTGCCACGATTTCGACATGAAAAATGCGTTCGCGAAAAGTTGCCAGCTCTCGCTCTTTATGATTGGGATTTGCGGGCACTAATGTGCCATAGCTTGGCCCATGCTCGATGTTTTTATTTTATTTTTTGCCTAGTAACAGCCGCAGGTTTTTACCAACAAGCTTCCATTGCAACACATTCGGAGGCTTGCCACTGCTGTTGCTGCTTCTGACATGCTGTCGACATCATTACAAATAAATTGAGCGTGAAAGATACATTTCAACAACATTCCCTTGACGCAATGATAGGCTCTTTTTTCTCTGCTCTTCCTGCTATTGCATGATAGTGGTTGGAGGCCAAGGTGAGGGTCTTGATTTGTATACATACATTAAACTGACTTTAAAATGCTTGCATTGCGTTAAGTTAAGCAACAGTTCAGAGAGAGAGAAAACAAATTTTAAATAAATAAAAAGGGTTGATTAACGGATCAGCAATTGATTGCAGTTTATTTAAATCAAATCGATATTGACAAAATTTCGTGCTCGACCTTAGCTTAAGCTAAAGCTAATTTGAAACAGCTTCCAGTTAAATGTATTTATCTTTAATCTTGTAAAGCAAGAAGCAGCTAGGCTCTCTCCTTAGCCAAAGCCAATTGCCATAAACTGATTTAATTAAAAGCCCAAAGTATAGCAAAAATTCGATATATATTCAAATTTCTCAATTCACACACACGCACACTCTTAAATAAATATAAATACAAAAACAAATACATGGAGCTGTGGAAATTGCATGTGCGCCACAATTTCAAATGAGAGAATACGAAAGTCAATTTACTGTAAGACGCTGAGCAGAGCACATTCCACATAAACATGAGAGATATTTGTTATAATAACATACGTGACCATATTTACAAATTCCAAATCAAAATCTTGGCCATATAGTCGACAAAAGTGGGGGCGGGGCGAACAGTTAAGCGGCGTCAATGGGCGAGGCTGGATTCATTGTCTGGCGTTTTGCTATGCATGTAAAATGAATTTGATGTCTCGGCTCGACGAAATTTAACTAGGGTGTTGACAAGAAGGAGGAGAACTTAGGTATGTGTCTGTGTGAGGCATTCTGTAAAATTTGTTAAGACATGCCCACATTATAATTTAGGGCTTAAGGCATTCACAGCTGCCAGAAAACAAGCCGTACAAGATTTTCGCTTTATCCAAATGTAGCACAAATTTTCATTGGCCATGAAATGCTTTGGCGCATAATTGTGTTAGAAATTAAATACATTTCTTTGGCCAACATCAAATAGTTTAAGCTAACATCAGACTATCAATTGCATTTGCGTTGACTTATCAATGGCTTTGCTTTAAGGTTGTGAACGCAAATAAAGGCACTTTCATATACTTTCATATAATAAATGTGAAAGAAGCCGTACAAAAAATCTTAAATTAAATTCAATTTGTTTATCTTGCATATTTTGCTTAAGTGCATATTTTGATTGATCGTTTCTATATAATTAACCGATCTACAGAAATATATTTTTTAAAATTGTAAAATACATTCAAAACTGAAAATTGCCTATTCATTCCAATTGTTTACACAAGCCACAATATTATTCTATGCCCCATTTGGAAGTGAGCAAAAAGTTTTGTAGTCGAACTTCACATGGAGGTCTAAAATTGATATATACAAATATTTTCAGCTCGACAATGTTCAGTAGGCCTAGATAAACTTATCAAAAACCTAAAAAAAAACATTTATACACATATATATACATATATATATATATTTATATATATGTATATATATATTTCTGGAAAATTAGTGTTGTGCAAAAAAATATAGAAACGTGCGAAAGTATTGTTAAATTATTGAAAATTCGTTATTTTTGTATCTTTCAGGTAACCGCATAGAAGTGGATGCGTATAAAGAATCTTTCGATTTTGAAATTATCAAGTTCTCAGCTTCATTGTTAAATTTGCAAGTAAGTAAAACGTTTTACAGATTATCCAACTATGCGAATTAGATCTGAATAGAAAGCTGCACTTCTGTTCACCAAAAATAGAAAGTGCAAACAATTTTGATCGCCAAAAGCATAAAAGCCAGAACCTAGTGCCCGACAAGCCCAAACATTTTATTGAAATAAGAAATAGGACAACGACGGCGCCACTAATGTTAAATATTCCTATTCTGATACAGCCATAATCAATTCGAGATTTGAAAATAACTTAATTATAAGCAATTTTCGTCCGGGGCAACAATCAGCATAAGCTTTATGAGTTTTACTTTTTGAAAAAGAAATTCCCTTTTTTCAAGACTTAAATGCTTGCATTGGATTTCCAAATGTACGTAATCTTCCTAATGGATTTAATGGCTGATTTTGGGGTTGGCAAACCTCAAGCCTGTCAAAACCCGCCCCCGCTTCAGGCCATTGACAACCGGCAACCGCTTAAAGATAACTGCAGTATGACAGTGGTGTCCAATATAGTTATACTAGTTATAAATAAGTCAGGTTTTCGCTACTGACAGCCAGCACGGTGTTTATATCAAAAAGGGTGCTCTCTGGCAGGCAACACGGCGTATAATTAACAATAATGAACTCGTAAAACCGCAATGCAATCAGCGATGCGCAAAACACACACACGCATACACACTGTTACACACATCTAGTGTGGACAGTCGAAAAGCCAAAATGCAAAGCGAATAAAGAAAGCGCACGAACAGAGATATGCCTGGTTGTGGGCAGTGGCAGGGGTAGGGACTGAGGCTGGAACAGGGGCAGGGATTGTACATGGGGCAGGAGGCAGCCGGCAGTGGCTGCGGCATTGTGGCCATAGCTTTCAGTTCCAAGTCACGGTCACGGTTTGGCGTTGTAAAATATTTATAAACCATTTGCACGCATAATTAGACTGTCATTAAATTTTGAGATGTGTGACAAAAAGGGCTCCCGACGTGGCTATAACGAATTTTGAATACTCTTACCAGAAAATTACTCAAATCATTTTAGATGAGAGAAGAAACCCGAACGAAACGTTAATGTTACGTTTTCAATCCGTTAAAGAATATATATTCTTGATTTAGCATCAAGGGAAAACATTTTCAATAGCTTCTAGTATATATACTAGGTCCAGTATGAAAAGAAAAACATTTTTAAATACTCTTGCAAAGTATTTTCGATTCCTTAAAGTACATATAATCTTGATCAGCATCAATAGCAAACATCGTTCATCCATTAGGGAATAAATATTTTATCTATATCAAGAGAATAAATTTTTAAGGCCTTAGGAAAAAAATAGTATCAAGTACGTTTTCAATCCATTGATGGATATATGTATACTTGATCAGTATTAAGTTGTCTTTTTGTTGACATCAACGGACATCAACTACATAACGGAGTTTGCCTAATCGGATATAATATTAATGTAATAACAATATTATATCAAAACAACGCGAATCAGATCGAAAAAACACATTATTTCAGCTGTATCATTTATCTTAAAATATTATTACAATATTTTGCGTAATTATTTTTAATATTTCCTAACTTTCAACTAACCTTACTTAAGCTCTAAGGTCCTTTCAAATCAGGACATCGATAAACTTCAGGATCAACATATTTTTTTTTTGAAGGCAAATTAAATCAAAGTTTTGAAATTAATTAGATAAAATCTAAATTAGTTAAAAACTACGAATTCGAATATTTACATATATACAAAAATGGTATGCATATAATTGATATGCCACTTCTACTGGTTGTGTATACCCTATATGCATGCATAAAGGGTATGCGTATAAGGTCTAGTTGCATGTGCTGCGCTCAGTGAACGTTTTGCGTTTGGGTGGCGCTTCGTGTTGGGCGCCGAAATGTCATGTCATGTTGCGACAGGCTTCTGTATGTGTGTGCATGTGCGAGTGTGTGTGTGGACCATAAAGTAATCAGCGGAAATGTCAATGAGCCGCCGCCATTTGCTGATGTGTCGGCGGCTGAGGTTTACACACTCGCACCAGCCAGCAACAAAGTATTTTTTTTTTCGGCCCCACTCCCAGCTCCTCCGCACGACCCTCATCAGCCTCACCAGGCACTTGTTATTGTTGTCGCCGTTGTAATTGTTGTTGTTTTCTGTATTGTAATTAAACATTTTTCGTTGCATATGCAGCAGCGATTGGCAGCCGTGTGGGTTTAATTGCATACCATGTGTCCGTGTGTGAGATAGTGTATGTCAAGTGTGCGCGTGAGTGTGAGTGTGAGTGCGTGTGTGTGTGTGTGAGTATGAGTGCGTGCGTGTGTCTTGTGCTGACAAATATTTTATGGTGCAGCATTGATAGGCGGTCAATATGAGTAGCTGATGCATTGACAGCTTGGCAGTGAAGCTGAAAATACAAGGCGATTGAAATTACGCTTGAAGAGAGCACCAAAAGCTACCAATGCGACTTTTGAGTCAGCCGAAACAGACCTCGAATTCCAATTCCTTATTTAACCTGAGCCCTGGCTTTTTTTTTTAATAAATTGTCTGAACTCAAATATTGTTAATTGTATATTTTTTTTATTCAATTATTGTACCAATAGTTTTTATTTTTTTCAAAATATCTTAACCCAAATAATGTTTATTTAATTTGTCAATTTAATTTTTCCATACACTTGCGAGTCTTGATTTGAATATTTATTTAATTTTTTACTTTAGTTTGGAGACTAGCAATTTAAGGCAATAACTTTAAATTAGAGTCAAATCGATAAAAACCAATTTTAATGAATAACTCGAGAATTATAGCATCGCATAAAACACGTATTTGTATGCCATATTTATATCCTGATTTCATTTCATTAAGATCAGAAAACAAGCAGCCTAGTTATTCAGGAACATATTTACCATAATAAGGTATCAAAAAAACGTTCGAAGCTTACGTTTTGCATATGTGTAAAGATAGTTCGAATTTCTGTAGCGACAGCGCGGCGCACGGTTCATGGTATCTCTTGATATGATATGTTAATATTAATATATTATGTTGATATGACATACTGGCTAATTCATGATTTAATGGGAATGTGTCATCTGACTGAACGCAGTAGTGTGTCGTTTATAGAATAGGGATTTATTTGCTAAATATATAAAATATTTAGATTCAAATGTCGCTCAAACGTCAGCCCGTTTCAATTTAGAACTACATGAAAGTTATGCCTGACAGGTAGCTAGGCACATAATTTAAATTTGTTGTATTTAAAATACAATAATTTTTTTGCACTTGCAGTTACACATACCACAACAACAACAACAACAACACACGAACAGCAATGGCATTTAGTGGACACATGAATTCCGATGGGGAAATCGTTTTAAGTGATGAAATTTATACTGGACGCACTCGCATTTGCAGCATATCAACGCCATCAGAGCCATCAGAGCAATCGGAGCACTCGGAGCACTCAGAGCAATCGGGGCTAGATACCCTGGAATATATGGATTCGCGACGATGGGAGCCCTCCAACCTGGAAGGCACATCGAATTTGTTATATAAAGATCAGGGGGAATCCTCCTCATCATCATCGTCAACGCCGCTCTCATTGCCGCCAGCAAATGGTAGCACGTATACCCATAGCAAAGCGGATACCAATTCTCTGTATAGCTACACAAACGTGTACGGTTCTCTCAAGCAGATGGAGAAACCGAGCAATAGGGTACCCTCGCTGGGCCTAAGCTCAAAGAGCAGCATGCTCGACTATATGCGTGAGTTGGATGGTCTTAAATTGGATCGTCAGCCGCAGGTGGCCTACGAGACCTGGTACGCCTCCAAGCAGAGGCTGCGCCAACAGGAGCTGCAGCGCCAAAAGGAGGAACGTGAACATGAAATTGAGAAGCACGAGTTACGCAAGCAGCTGGCCAAGCTTTCCTACGATCAATGGCTGCGGGATAAGGCGCGGCAGGCGGCGCAACGTCGAATGGAAAATCATATGCAGCGTGCGGCCCTGCAGGCAGCAGCCAGCTCTGTGGCAAACAGAGCCAAGGCGAGCAACAAGCCGGTGCGCAATGTGCCCCAGGCCGAGATCAGTCAGGTAGTGCAGAGCTGGTGGCTCAAGAAGCAGGAGCAACAGCAGCGCCAGCGTCAGGAGCAACAGCATCATCTCCTTAAAAAGGCACGAGAGGAGCAGCGTCGCAAACAGTTGGCTGAGAAGGCCTGGCAGAATTGGATGAGCAATGTCTATGGCAAACCGAAGCCAGTGCCCATGAATCAGGGCATGGATTCGCTGCGTGGCACCGTTTCCGAAATATATTTAAACCCGGCCCCCTGGCAGTCGATCAAGAAGCCACCGAATGAGTTATAATATTGCATAAGTGAATTCAGTCAAATGTTGATATTGTATATGTGAATCTATGGAGTAGTAATTGAATTGTTGTAGTTTCAGTTTCTATCACAATACAGCCGTAAATATATAAACAAAGGCACTAATTAAAATAAAAAAAAAAATAAAAACAAATCGAACAATGATTAAACTAATATTTAAATTCATATCATTTCCAACTAGCAAATAAAATAAATAGCCTTTACAAATTCAACTTAACAATTCTACAGGTCTACTTGTACCACAGCCCCACGTCTTTAATTAAAATATAAATATTAATAAGGAAATAAATAAAAAAAAATTGATATAAAACATAATTTTATAGTTTTAAAAATATAATAATAAAATGAACAATTCAAAAAATATAAATAAAAATAAAAAATGTTAAAATAAATAAAAATTAAGCCCAAAACTATAAAATCGAACAAAATAAATAAATACATTTTTGAAATTATTTATTTTATTTATTTATTATTTAGTTAACAAAAACTACCCAAACCTCTCTGGTGCAAGCCAAAAGGCTTACTGCTTGCCTTAGACGAGCTGGTAGTGCAGCTGGCTAGCACTTAAGATATTGCATTGATCAGCAAGCCGTCAATCCATCAATGCACAGATTTGATAACTTAAGCCTTGGCTTATAATCAAATATGTTTGAAAACCACATTCGCCCGGAACTGGACAATACATAGTTGGTTTCCTGAGCATGCAACAAACCTTTTTCAGCTTTAGTAACCCTTCCACTTTGTATTTAAAAGAAACATTTTGCGTATTGTGCTTATTTGTTGTTATCAGTGAACTGGCAAACATTATCGACTAGCATTTCAAAAGTCAATTTAAGCAATTGCATCAGCAGAGCTTTACCAATTTCGTAAGCCAATACGATAAGTGAATGCAGTGTCACAGAAAGGGGTTAAGAGATGATGGCAAGGGGCTGGTGGGGACGGTCTGTGGAAAATTGTAAAACTGTGACAGATGAAAACAAAAAACAATTTGCAATAACAAGTAAAATACAAAAGCAAACAAAATGCCAAGCATAGAGAGTGAGAGAGAGAGTGTGCACAGAACCGCACAGGACACACAAAATAGGATATCAATTGTTGTCAGCTTCAGTCTCAATGTATGTGTTAAAGGAGGAGTGGGTAGGCGGTACAGGGGGCGTGGCGAGGCTTGGGCCATTTTCATTAGATTTTCAACACTGTTCGTAAAGTCACAAAATTATATTGTCAAAAATAAAATAAAGCATGTTTTTAGGCGCAAACACAAGCTGTAGCAGAGCAGAGCGAAAGACGGAGAGTAAGAGAGAGAGAGATAGCTGCCGTAATATAAAGTGCTCTTTGCCAAAGCAAAACCGAAATGCAAACAAAATAAGCCAAAGGCCTAAAGTTCATTTGCACAATTTCCAAACCGCTTGCGCTTGCCCTACGCTCCGCACCACCCCCTTCCCTATGCACACACACACACACACACACACACACACACACACACCGCCGCACTCTCGACTACACGGAACAAAGTCAAAGGCCGTTCAAAGCTTGGCAAACAAAAAGACCAACAAGACGCTGGCAAATCCTTTTGATGAGGTCAACGCTAGTTTGGTTGCCTGCTACCAGCTAAAATACACACACACGCACACACACACACACGCATACGCATTGGTCAAGCCGATGTTTACATTTGTGTGCATTAGAATTCTCTACATATGTGTGTGTGTATGTGTGAGCATTGGCAGGATTAAATTTGGTAGGTATTGAAGCATGTTATTCGTCATCAATGTAGTTTGCACTAACTAGTTGTTGTTGCTGCCGCTGTATCCTTGTCCGTATCCTTGCTGTTATTGTTGGGATTTTGTGTTGCAGTTGAGCAACAAGAGCAAAGCAATGCAACCATGCCCCCCCCCCTCCCCCCAACGCCCCACACCAGTTAGTCAAGTCGAGCTTGCGGAGTCGAGAGTCGTTTTCATGTTGTTTGCATTGTTTACGCACTTTCGCTTTGATATTATTGTAGTGGGTATTTCGAGCCAAGAAGACCGAACAGTCCACTGGCCAAATTGTGCGCACAAGCACATTCGAATCTGTGTGTAGGTGCCTGTGTGTGTGTGTGTGTGTGTGGGTGTGCGAATGTAGGCGTATAGTCTAACTTTGTGTGTGCCACGACTTGTGTACAGTTGCATGCTTCATAGGTTGCACTCTAGCGTGTTGCACGCTGAATCTGGCTTTAACGTTGCGTAATTTGGTCTGTGGTTGGGTTAAGAAACAATTGCATTCGACTAAGGAAATGCAGTACCAAGCGAAACGCATCATTTAAAACTATAGTCTTAAAGATAATCCTATTTCTGCTTCTTGAACATCTTAAAAGTATTAAAGCGAATAAATAGTATATTCATCTGTTATGAATATTCATCAAAACCAAAATGCCTTTTAAACCTAACAATTCATATTTAGTGACAGTTCAGTTGTTATACGAATGGGCTCTTATTATATAGTTTGTTAAATATTGAAACCCGTCCACGTCGTAAACAAAACACTTACCGATTAAAAATGAATCGTTAACAAAGCTCTCGCCATGGTTCATTTAACTAAATGGTCTGCTCTTAATCTCAATCCGCCACGCGTGTGAACATTTTGCATAAGAAAAACTCGCACGGGGCGGTCCTCTATGAAAAAACAGATCCAAAGATTAAACACATTTGCAGAAAGAAAAACAAAATAAGCTGGAAAACAAAAAAAGATAAATTGCCACGTGTTTAATGGTAAAAACAATGAATAGGGCGCATTCACAGAATTGCGGCATGCTGGGCACATAAATAATGCATTGGCAGCCGTTCAGCAAAAGGAGCAAAACCCAAACCAAATCCAACAATTGAGCATAAGACAAAGCAACCTGCCAGGTGGTCAGGTGAACAGTTGAACAGGTGAACATTTGAGAGCCGACCGGGCTTTATGCCCAGACAATGGACCCAAATATATCACAGTGATGACGAGTGATCAATAACCATGGAAATGGGAGCAATGCGGGGGTTAGCATGTGAAGACGATGCTTTGTCAGCGACAGCAACTAGAAATGCCAGATAGGGATAACTGATGTATTGAACAATCGCTGGAGTGTGCTCGGGACAAAAGAAACTAAATTCGTCCATTCGAAATAATTCACAGTTCTTTTCGAAAAGTGAAAAACTGTGCAACATGCACTTCTTCTATGCCCCAAATTTCCTAGATCTTTTAGAGTACGGCATATCTTTACAAAGAACAGAGTATTGCTCAGTCGGTTACATTTGTCTGTTATTCGTACTTTAATGAGTTAGTTATAACAACAAAAAGCCCCCAACTGATTTCCATTGTTTGTTCATTCACGTTTTGCAAAATAGAAACCTTCGATTGGAATTTTATTAAATTCATTAAAAAAGCAAAACGCTTAATTAAATTATATTTATATTATCTTTTATTAGTCCAGCTTCCGACGTGCTTCCACTGTTTGAAAAAGCCAGGGATCAAAAAGTTTTTATTAAAAATTCAAAAATCAGAAAAAAAAAATAAATATTTTGTTGGTTTTTATTTATCCAGATAGAAATAATTAAATATTTACAAGAGAGGCATTAGGAAGGCGATTGGAAAAACCATAATAATACGAATAAAAAGCGATAAAAACCCGATATGAAAATAATATTCCTTTGTCAAGATATTCGCTGGGAATTCGCATTGTCCTCTTTGGGATAAATCAGATAATACAGATTCATGTAGATTCGAATATATTATTTAGAAGTCTTATTATTCTCTGTTTAGCTATGGTTATTTTAAGGTAATATAATTTTAATTTATTGGCTAATAAATACGAGCCATGATGGACAAATGCGGATATATTATATAGAAGTCCCATTTTCATCGTTCGGATGAATAAAATAGCTCAAGGAATTAGGCATAAATTAAGTCATGATTACGAAAGGCCTCAAGCTAAACAGTAACTAATCCATAACAAGAGACTTACAATATGCGACAAAGCTTTTACTTTCACAGCAGCTGAGCACTGACTTCGTCGAGCCAAAAGACGTCTATGACTTACTTAAGTCAGAGCCGCGTGTTAATAACTTTTTAGTCGTAGCATGCAAGCCCTCTACCAGAAATCGAGCTACCATTTGCAGGTGTGCAGGTGTGTGGTGTCCTTCACATGAATATTTTGCTGCGTGCTGGGCGCCAGATTAAAGTGACAGGCAGGCTACGCAAAAATAACACAAAAGGTGGTTAAGACCCTGTAAGTGTTTAAGTCGACAAGGCACTATGACTGCGTAACAAGGACGAGCGAAGCGTGGCCTGGGCCGCAAATAGTATTTGAGACATTTGCTGCGTGTTTATAGCGCTGTGAAATGAACATTTTGCAGGTGATTTAACAGTTATTAGATTTCTTTAGCCAAGCAAAAGTGTGTGCAAAAGCCCGTACAAGCAACGACCCATTTGGTAGGTTAAAGCTTGCCTTTTTGTAATTTTGTACAAAAGTTTTTATTTGATCACATCCATATTTGGCAGCCAGAAAGTATGCAAAACAAAATGTCAAAAGACATTTGCGCAAAAACAATGCACGAAACAATTGCCTGAGAAACTTTTTGGCCCAAAACTTTCCAACTACGAGCATGCACTGATTAAATAAAGATTTTTCCCAGGCACAAAACTTGGTCAACGGGAAGCGCAACGCAATCGTTTGAAAAGTAAATATGCAAATATGTTTATCAAAAAGTGTTGACACACGAGCACAAAGCGCCTAAAACTATGACTTGCATCCTTTTATTGCATTTATTTATGAGTTAAGACCAAATTGAAGGGCATTTCGCATACGATTTCAGCCCCAAAAACGCCATTTTTATGTTTATAATGTATACCAAAAATGTTCAAAGAAAACTATTTTAAAGTTTAACTTTCAGTTAAACCACAATTAATACTATTTTAAATTTGTACAAAGAAAAGTTAATAATTTGATTAAATAAAACACAGCTTAGCAATAAACAAAATTGTATCAGTTCAAATTGTAAAAATATAGTGAAAATAAAAAATAAAATATACATATATGTATATAATAAATGTATATATTGTATGTCCTTAATATTTTT